ATACTTGCCTATCAGAGAATGCATGTTCATATCCCAACCAATTTGACAAGAAACAAATGTTAGGAGCACTGTGTAGACCGAAAAAAACAAAAACAAAAACAAAAACAAAACTTTTATCAAGGCAGAATAAACAATACCTGTTATGATGCTATGGAAGAATTTGATCTAAACTTTCCTCTACTAGCAGAAGACTATCTTAGAAATTTTCCTGATTCATAAATTTTTTTTAGTGTAAAATGGTTTTGAAAACAAATCTGATTCTTCTGTCTTCTTTGCTTCTCTTATTAATAACCGAATCATCTAAATGAAATATTCTAGATACAAAGGACAAATATTGTATGATATCACTTATATGAGATACCTACAGTAGTCCAATTCATAGAGAGAAAGTAGAATGGTGGTTACCAGGGATTGGGGGAGAGGGGTATGGGAAGTTGTTCTTTAATAGGTACAGAGTTTTAATTGGGGAAGATGAAAAAGTTCTGCAGATGGATGGTGGTGATGACAACACAAAAATGTGAATGCACTTAAATGTCACTGAATTGTATACTTAAAAAATAGTTAAAATGGTAAATTTTATGTTATATATATTATATATATAAAATAATATATATATATTGTGTATATATATATATATATAATATATATATAATCTGAAATGTGAATCATGTGTTTTATTCATCTGGGTTCAATATTGTTTTTCTAGATGTGATATTAAGTTCAAATAGAATTGCACAAAACCTACTTTCAAGGAGCATGCTTTGGGAAAAGATAACACATAGGTAGAAATGCAGGCAGTGACAGTGTCCCTGCCTTCTCACTGTAACAAAGGCTGAAGAGGATGTTTAATCTTTCTAGGTGCATTCGCTTTCAATTTAGTAACCTTTTACCAGGCCTGAATTTGGCCTCAGAATATATGAGTCTCAGAGGCCTAAATCTACAAAACAAATTAAAAAATACAGTATTCCTCTTCTTATCCATGGAAGATACATTTCAAGACCCCCATCGAATGCCTGAAACTGTGATAGTGCCAAACCCCATATATACTATGTTATTTCCAATACATACATTCCTATGATAAAGTTTAATTCATAAGTCAAGCACAGTAAAGAAAATTAACAAAAACAACTAATAATAAAATAGAAAAACTATAATAATTACTATAATAAAAGTTATATGGATGTGGTCTCTGTCTCCCCCCAAAATATTTTATTGTACTGTACTTCTTCTTCTTCTTCTTCTTATAATGATGTGAAATGATAAAATGCTTTCCTGATGAGAAGAAGTGAGGTGAAGGATGACATAGCATTAGATCACTCTTGACCTTCTGATGATATGTCAGAAAGAGAACCATCTGCTTCCATACTGCAGTTGGCCATGGGTAACTACAACTACGGAAAGGTAAGCTACAATTAAGGGGCAACTAATGTAATAATAACCCAACAGTAATACTTATTAAGTATATATCAAGCACCAGGATTAAGTGCCAGCCAGGATCTAGGTCAAGAAAAAAGTTATAGGCAGATTTACAAATATCATATATTAGCTTACTATCCCCAACTCACTATTTTGCTTTTTAAAATAAACAAAGCCCCATACATCCCATTTATTACAGAATTAAGAAAACTAACAGAGACACACCTCTGTGCCAGTAACCATGTCAAAGAGTATGTCAGCCAATAATATTTATGAAACTCACATGCCGCTGACAGGCCCACATACTGTGAAGTAGAAATTTTCAGAAAGGGTACATTTTGATCCATTAAAATTCCCTATGAAAAAAAGCTTGCAGGTATAGACACTCTTTGATTTAGAAAGTCTATCTTTTAGAAAGAATCTAGTTCAATTCTTATGGTGGGGGGAAATAATACATAAAAACAACAGTTCAAAACTGATGATAAAATTCACCTCAAAGCAAAACCATTTCTTTGCTTGGTTAATGTGGCATAAGAGAAAGCTTGACTAGCAAGTATAATTAAAGTATGAATCACAGGCATGAGTCATGAGTAACCCTGAGAGCACCTATAGGGAAAAAAGTCCATTATAACCTACTAAATTTAGAGACTAAAGGATGAAGGGTAGGAGGAAAAATCTTAATTCCATGTAAATGCAGTTATGGGCCTGAATGGAAACACTGATAATGGCATTGATGCATTATTGGTCCAGCATTTGTGTGAGGCTCTGTAACACAGCATATTATGCTTAATGTATAGGTACTCATTTTTGATGTTTTCTATTTCTAGAATTTCTTGAGGTCAGGTACTTTGCTTTGCTTTATTTGTTTTTCCATACAAATCACTTCTTGACTCAGATTCTACTAATGTAGAAAGTTGGCATAAAACATGCAGCTACACACGTGAATGGGCAAATGATAACCCATATCTCAGAATCTAGAATAAATGTGTCTTGACATATAAGACTTTTGAAAAAATGAAAAATGACATCCAATAATATATTAAATGCTACTTTTCAGACTGTTGATACATTTTAAAGAATCACAGAAATTTTATTTAATGAAAAACAGGAAGAGATTGTTATATTTTATCCTATTTCATATCTCAGCAGTTGGCATTGAATTTACTTGCTTGGATAAACAATATGGCAAAAGTTGAAAGAAAACTATTTGTTTGGCCTGACTTTTTTGTCTTTCAAGGTGTGTGATGAATATAAAATTGCCTCAGGTGAAAAACAGCCCCACTGCTTGGGCTACTCAATTAACTGACAAATGGCATTCTTGCCCACCATCTGACCCCACCTACCCAAATGAGGAGTATTTAACTGACAGACATAGGTTAGACACTGGAGTTAAAATGGCTCTAGTGATGATTGGACATTCTGATAATATTTAGAGGTACAATGATACGAATATGGTTGGAAGGTTTTTAAGTCCAATTTCCTTGCTCAGAAGAATTTATTTTATTTAAAAAATTTGTTTGAAGTTTATTTATTTATTTTGAGAAAGAGCTTGAGCAGGATAGGGGCAGAGAGAGAGGGAGAGAGAGAATTCAAATAGGCTCTGCACTCTCAGCACAGAGCCAGATGAGGGGCTTGAACTCAAGAACCTGTGAGATCATGACCTGAGCCAAAATCAAGAGTCCGGCATTTAACCCACCCAAGCACCCTTTTGGCTGAGAAGAATTTAAATCAAAGCCATCAAATACACTGTTTACATCATCTTATCCTAGTTTAACGTTTATGTACTATTTTTTTTAAAAAATTTTTTTTTTCAACGTTTATTTATTTTTGGGACAGAGAGAGACAGAGCACGAACGGGGGAGGGGCAGAGAGAGAGGGAAACACAGAACCGGAAACAGGCTCCAGGCTCTGAGCCATCAGCCCAGAGCCTGACGCGGGGCTCGAACTCACGGACCGCGAGATCGTGACCTGGCCGAAGTCGGACGCTTAACCGACTGTGCCACCCAGGCGCCCCTGTACTATTTTTAATGTTCATGTGTACTTCTTTAAAGAAAATTGAAACTAAAAGTCTTGACAGTCTCTGAAACTTAATTGGGAAAAATGTAAAGTACATTAATGGAATTTTTCCCATGATCTGTAGAAGAGTTTTTTAAACAGATGGTTCAAATGTACAGAGCAATGAAAACACAGAAATTAAAAGCAGATTCTTAACAAAAATAACAGAGTTCTCAGAAATACTATGGATGATGGCAGGACTGGATGTAAGGCAGTACTTTGTTTTGCTGTCAAGGTTTGGAGAGAACAGGAATTTATTAGGTGATCCTCTATCAGAGAAGGGGTAACTGACTCTTGGTAGGAATTTACTATTCATTTGGAATTCCAGCCAACTTCAACAATTTGAAAATCCTCATGCTTGTAGGATAATTCCATCCAGGTGCCAACAAAATATATAGTATTGTGATGTAAGTATTCTTCTATAAGTGGGGGCACTTCAGTCCAAGGTGCGTATCTGGGGGATGGGGATGGTCTAAAATCTTTCCACCTTCATAGCTACTTGGAAAAACAAGGAGCATCCCAAGGCCTATGAACCTTTTCATTTTCAGTATAAAAAACTCTGACTTTCTTGGATCAAGGAAGTGAGCGGTGGGAAAGAGGTAGGAAAACTTTTCAATCTGGAATTTATACGTATTTAGTGGAAACGTGTGAAATAAAATCTAAACTAATGCTAAAAAGTACCATCTTCCAACCGGAGTTCAAAATGACTTCCCAAACTTCAAGGAAAGTTAAAGTTGGTTTCTCTCCCAGGCAATTTTAGGGTACGGGTGGTGAGAAAGACGGGTAGGGGAGGTACGTTGGGAGTTTGAGATCCTTTGGGACGTGGAGAACCGCAAAGTGTTGCCATGAGCTAGTCAGCTCCAGGTGCCGGGGAGGAGACAGAGCTGACGCCCCTGGCGAAGGCGTGAGCGCAACTACGCCGCAGCCGCGCGCAGCGCATGAGCCAAGTGCGGGCGGGTGGGTGGCGGCCGAGGGTGACTGGGAGAAGAGGAGGGGTGGCGCGGGGTGGGAGTGCGGCGGCTGGAGGAGGGTCTCCCAGCTCAGGCCCGATTTGCAAGCTCTCTGAGCCTGCGTCCGCCGAGGGGGAGGGCTTCCCTGGCCTGTCCAGAGTGGCTCAGAGCACAAACGACTGTCAAGAGAGTAGGAGAGTGGAGGTGCCGGAAGTGTGTGCTCGCCGTGGGATAACTTTCCTGCTCCGGCCGCGGCCCGGAGCCTCCGCCGCCTAGCTGTTCGCAGCGACGATGCGCTCTGATGACAACGACCTGAGCGGACCCGCGCCTCGGCCCACCGCCAGAGTCTGCACACTCCTCGCCGCAGGGGAAGAAGACTGAGCCCGGAGGCGTCCGCGCGCCCCGGGAGCCGGGTGCAAGGCGGCGCGGCGCTCGGGGCCCATTTCCTCTGCGCGGTCCCCTAGCGTTTGGCTTGTTCCCCGCGATCGTGCGTCCTCAGCGCCGGCCGCGGTCGCCGGCTGTTCCCGCCCTCACCGCCGGCCGGGACGTGCCCCGGCAGCCACTGGTAGCGTCTGTGCCATGGGGCTGCCTACTCTGGAGTTCAGCGATTCCTACTTGGACAGCCCAGATTTCAGGGAGCGCCTGCAGTGTCACGAGATTGAGCTGGAGCGAACCAACAAGTTCATTAAAGAGCTCATTAAGGACGGCTCTCTGCTCATTGGGGCGCTGAGGAGTAAGTGGATAGGGCAGGGGCGGATGGAGGGCGCGCAGGGTTGTGGCGAGTCCCCGCGGGGTGCGGATTTGAGGGGTGGGATGGAGGACTCGGGGCTTCTTTTGTTTGAATGGGTTTGGGACAAAAGCTGAAGAGCTCCCCTGCTGGTGGCCAACAAAGTTTGTTCTTAGGTGTTCTTTACTTAAGTAATGTCTACAGAGAAGGGGAAGTCCTCCACTGGACACAGGAGTGTATCTTGAGGAAAGTTGTTCAAAGTTATCTTTTTGTATAACGCTCCTGGAAAAATGTTGGAGACTATTGGTCCTTTTTTGATTGTTTGTAATTTTATTATGCCTGATTTGAACACTTTTTCAAAAGTCCTGAAGGAGGGATTCAAGAATTTGTCTTAAGGATAAAATAAAGGTAGTTTAGTGATATTCAAAGAAAATACTGATTTCTTATGTGTATCAGTGGCTCTTCACTGGGCACAATCGATCACAGAATTGGCTTTTTAAAAAAATAGACATTTACAATTTTGTCATTAGGAGGATGATGGAGATGATCGAAGACAGCATGGACCGGTGGATTTAGTCTCTACCAGTTTTTTTGTTGCGTCTTAATTTTTGGTTTATATTGTAAATCTGATGTTGGTCGAGTCATTGGGGATGAGAGTTGATGGTTAAAGGTCAACCAGAATTTCTGATTATTATATAAGTAAAAACTGCCCTTAGGGATTTTTCCCCACTTCCTTTTCCCAGCCGATTTTCTTTACTCCCTCTTGAATCTGCTGGTTTTCACTTTCAGTTACTAAGACCTAGGACAGTCTTAGTTTTAACTCCAGTTTCTCTTAGAGAAAATGAAGTGATGTAATTGATAAGGCTTAACTTGTACCTTTCCCAGGAAGTATTTGCATCTTAAAGGAAGCTTCTGAAGGTTTTAGCTACTGAAATGAAGTCCTGAATTATCTGGTCTCTGATGACTGGGTGAGTGAGGTATTTTCATAAGTTGGAGAGCTTTTAGGAGATCTAGCAATCCCCAGGACAAATGTAGGGGAACCATCATCGTGAAAGGTCAGTAACAACATGTTGGGGATGTGTGTGTGCCCAACACTGAGACATTAGCATCTGAGCTGTATTTTGAAGCATGTATTAATGGTAAGAATAGAGCTTAGCAAAATATCTTGAAATAAGGGTGCTCCCAAATCTTTTTAACCATCCCAAATGCCAAAACATTTACTTATCACTTGTGTTACTTAACTAGGGTAAAGAGGATATGTTTTATACCCACATTCATTCAATTTCTGAATTTGAGGCTGCTACTGGTAACAGTATTTACTGGTCTGTGAAAAAAATAACTTATATGCAGTTCTTTCCATTCTGTACATACACAAATGTGAACTCACCTTCCTTCTGGTTTGCAAACTCTGGTTGAGGTTTCAGGACTGGCATCTTTGCATTTTAGCCTCTTCCGAAAGAGTTTCCCCATTTCCGAGTGCTAAGTGCCAAGCTGACTCTTGCTGGAGCTGCCAGGTGGTCTACAAGTGATATTTTCTCCTCATTTTGCTGGGGAGATCAATTTTAGCGTTTCAAAAATTGAAAACACTTCCATAGCTGTGATAAAAACTCTGAAATGCATGTTATTTTGCTAGTAATAGTATGTATTTTATTATGATTTTTTAATCTAGTCTTGCAAAAATCAGGTGATTCCTATCCTTAATAAGTTGGTTTTTCCATGTATAAGTGAGGAAATCATGACAGTGTAAGCTCCTTGAACATGCAGAACCTGTCTTGTTCATTTGGTCATAAGCGCTTAAATATACAACCTGCCGTCTTTCTAGAATTCTTAGGTTTGTGATGAGAGTACATTATTTTAATTAATATTTGGTTATTTATATCATTATGGAAGGAAGACATTTTATTCCTTGTTGAAATAATTCCCAGCATCAGCTGCAAATAGAGATTTGGAGTAGAGGATCTCTTGAAGTCACATGATGGCACTGCTTTTTTCCCACCAAGCCACCTTCTGTCCCTTGGGAAGGATGCAATGAGGCTAGGCTGCAGCTGCTAAGTGCCAGCTCTCCGAAGCTGCTCAGCTAGGGTAAGAGTGTGCCTACAGGACTTTGAAGCCTGCTTATAGTTCTATCCCAGATCCACCAAGAAGCCCTCCTTTCCCCAGTTCTGTCCCTTCTGACTGTTTTTCTTTTCTGCTCTAGGGAGCCTTCACCTTCCCTTTCAACTATGCCTTTCCATTCTCTGTACCTACTGTTTCAGTAAGTGTATCCGTTATCCACTTCAGTTTTATTTTTAGAACTTTGCTGTTATTTTCATTAATAATTACTGGTTTCTTAATATAGCCTTCCTGAGCTGACAGTCATCATCTAAGCATCTTCTATTATTTCTATCCTAGTTCATAGCTCTTCTGGTGAGAATTTTGGCATGGACTTTTGGCTAATACATATGTAACTATTTCAGTAGGAGTCACATATACTTTTTTTTTTAATTAAAAAAAATGTTTGTTTATTCTTGAGACAGACAGGGAGTGAGCAGGGGAAAGGCAGAGAGAGAGGTAGACACAGATTCCAAAGCAGGCTCCAGGTTCTGATCTATCAGCACAGAGCCAAACGTGGGGCTTGAACTCATGAACTGAGAGATCATGACCTAAGCCAAAGTTGGAGGCTTAACCGACTGAGCCACCCAGCTGCCCCAGGTAAGGAGTCTCATATGCTTTTTGATTTTTACTTCAGGATGTACCTTTTTTGAGAATTACATGAAGGGAAACTACAAAGGCAGTCTAGGCATGTTAGAAGGGGAGGCTGGTAGGTACCATTCAATGTCAATTACAGGAGTATTGTCAGTTACAGACCCCTAATAAAAGAATCTCAACAGGAGAGAATCATCAGTTACAGACCCCAACAGGGAAAGATGTTCACTGCATTTACTACAAGAAATCTATCCCTGCAACTCATCCAATGAGAAAGCATCATCACTCTGAACTCGTGCTTTTCTCCAATAGACAACAGACAACAGGGGTTCAGAACTTCTCCAACTTCTCCATAAAGTAACATTCCTCTTCTCTGTTTTCTAGATTTACCTATGGTTTTGTGATAGCTTGCTTGTCCAGCATTGCATTTCTCTTACTTCCGAATAAACCCATTTTTGCTGGTTAAAATAACTGGCAGTGTTATTTTTAAGGTTAATAGTTTCTTTAGTAGAGTATTTGGAAGGGTCCTTATAAAGAAAGGAAAACCTTGCTTGACTACATGATTTCAGTTTTAAATAACATAAGTAAGATACTTAACATTCTTAAAATAAATTATTGCTTTTCATATTCACATCCACTTTAAGAAAATGGATGACAGCTAATTAAGTGGATTAACCTAGACCTGAATTTAAATTCTAGTGCTGTCAAGGGCACCTGGGTGACACAGTTGGTTAAGTGTCTGACTCTTGATCTTGCCTCAGGTCATGATCTCATGGTTTGTGGGTTTGAGCCCCACATCAGGCTCTGTGCTGATGGTGTGGAGCCTGCTTGGGATTCTGTCTCTCCCTCTCTCTCTGCCCCTCCCACACTTGTGTGTGCTCTCTCTCTCTTTCTCTCTCTCTCTCAAAATAAACTTAAAAAAAAGAAAAAATAAATTCTGGTGCTGTCAAATGCTGTGTGATAATTGGCAAGTAACTTAACCTCTCTGAGTCCTGCCTTTCCTATATAGTGAAGGAAGATCTATAAATATCTTACCACTAGAATTATTTGTTCGTTTTGTTATATGTCATACAGACATTTGGTGAGCAATACTTGAGAATATTTGATACTGGAGAATTGGGTTTTAGTTCATGCTGTGACTCAAAATCCTCCACCCTTTTCATCAAATGTTATTCTATGAACTCTGTTGCTTTAACAGGTATCAGCCTCAAAATTTGAGTTGTGAAATCATAGGCTATTTTTGCTTATTGATTTTCTTCTTTTAAAGATCATATTCAAAGGGTCACCTCAAAATGGCTTTCTCATAAATTCCCCCTTTAATTTATACTTTATAATTTTAGATATTTATGTGAGTTTTGTCCTTGCAAAAATAGACTTCCCCTCCTCCCAAAAACAGAAAAGAGAAAAAAAAAGGATAGACAGAAATAGAATTGTATTCATTTAATTGAATTATTGGGTGGGGAGTATATGAACATTCTTTCCTCCACTTGCCCTGTGGCATCTTGGGGCCTTCCCTTCTTTCTTTTTTCTTTCTCTCTCTCTTTTTTTTATTTCAGTTTTTAATTTTGATTCCAGTATAGTTAACGTATAGTGTTAGTTTCAGGTGTACAATATAGTGATTCAACAATTCGATACATTACCCACTGCTCATTGTGAGAAGAGTACTCTTTAATCCCCATCACTTGTTTCACACATGCCCCTTCCCCTCTCTGGTAACCATCAGTTTATTCTCTCTAGTTAAGAGTCTGTTTCTTGGTTTTTTTCTCTCTCTCTCTCTTTAATGTGGTGTACATAATGGAATATTACTAAGCCACAAAAAAGAATGAAATCTTGCCATTTGCAACAACATGGTTGGAGCTAGAGGATATAATGCAAAGTGAAATAAATCAGAGAAAGACAGATATATGATTCCACCCATGTGGAATTTAAGGATCAAAACAAACAATTTAAGAAACAAACTTATTACCAGTGCTTCCTTTCATTGCCTTAAGGTGGAATTGTCCAGGTATCTTCTCTGCATTTTGGATGTTTCTCAAACTTCTATGTGTAGGCTTCTTTTAGAGGGAAGAAAAGTTAGTGGACTCTAATATTAGAGTCAGTTATTTATTATGGTAGTTATATATAAGCACAAAACTAATTCTAATGCTTATTCATACAATCTTAAAAGCAAATCAATTTATGAATTAAATAAAATAATGTGAAACCAATAAAAAAGCTTGTCAACTACATTTAATTAATGTAATGGTTGATGATGATTTACTGAAATGAAATTTCCCCTTGTATAAAAATTGCTGATAATGTCTTGTATGTTGACGATTCAT